TGCCTTTATTTGAGAAGGCCATCAGTCCTCCTCCCTCAAATCCTTACAGGGCATGTGCGCAAGCCAGGAGGTGATTGTAGAGTTTAGTACTGTAGTGAACTGGGTAGTGTTTGTGTGCTGCATTGCCCTCCACTGGACGGACTCAGAACTGCTCTGTGTGTCACAGGCCCTATACTGCCACCAGAGATTCTCCCTTTAGTTCAGGCAAGAGGCTATAGCATCCAGCTCTCCTTTATTTCACGCCCAAATTTACTAATCCTCACAAATTTGTTGATCTCTCTGCCCCTCCCCTTTTATTGTTGACAATTTACATCAGAAATAAAGAACATAAGAACAGCCATACTGGGTCAGACCAAAGATCCATCTAGCCCAGTATCCTGTCTTCTGACAGTGGCCAATGCCAGGTGCTTCAGAGGGAATGAACAGAACAGGTAATCATCAAGTGATTCATCCTCTGTCACCCATTCCCAGATTCTGGCAAACAGAGGCTAGGGACACCGTCCCTGCCCAACCCAGTTCATAGCCAAGAATCATGACCAAGGCTGTAGAAAGTTATTTACAGCAAAGGAAGGAATCCCACCAGGTTTTAATTCTCTTGCAGAAATAACTGTCTTTGTCACATGTTGCATCCCACATTTGGGGCTTTGGCAGGTTGAGAGGGATGCAACAGACTAGACCTGTGCTTTTTGGGGGGAGGGAGTGGGATGGATCCAACACCTGGCTCCACTGCCCCAGTGAAATTCCAGATGTCTGTGGCAAAGTGAAAGGTTTCAGAGTAGCAGCCGTGTTCTTCTTTTTGCGGATACAGACTAACAGGAGGACTTGTGGCACCTTAGAGACTAACAAATTTATTAGAGCATAAGCTTTCGTGGACTACAGCCCACTTCTTCGGATGCATAAGTGGCAAAGTGGCAGCCCTGGAGTCCTGGGTGGCCAAGAATTGCTTACAGTGCATTCACCCCATGATGGGAATCCACGTAAACACAGGCTAGGGGGTGGGAAGGGACACAAGTGCCCAGTCTAGTCCATGCCTAGATGGTGATGGGGTACAGGCAGTTAGAATGGATTGAGACAATCAGACGGGACCAATGATCCGTCTGTTGGATGCAGTGGTGTGCCTTTCACAAAACGGAAAGAAAGTATGCACCTAGTAACATCAGGTTTGGTCGTGTCCATGCTAATGTGCCCACACAGCAGGGACTTCAATTATCCCCACATACAGGCTAGCCACATCGCGGGGCTTTCTAGCAGCTCTGATTCATCCCCTCTGATGAGCCTGTTACCCAAGAGGATACTTTCTACTCTGAAGCCTGCACAGATGGGGCTTTATTAGCTCCTATGGGAGATAATGCCACAGCCTAATCGAGCGAGCGAGCCTGCTCCCTGGAGCTTTATTTCCCTTCGGCAGCAGAACGGCTTGGTGGTAGCAGAGAACATGTAGTTCCAGGCGGTGTTGGCTTTCAGCAGCACTGGCTGGAACTTCAGCGATCTGCACTGATCACTTTTTCCTTCCTGCCCCATGGGGAAGCGAAGCGCACACTTCCAACGGGATCCGTGTACAGGGGCCTGTAAGCTACAGCAGAGAATCCAGTAACAGGCAGCCAACCCACACCTCAGTGGTGCTGGGAAAACGAGGCCATAGATCCCCTCCCCCCCCAATGTAGGGTGACCAGACAGCAAATGTCAAAAAACGGGACAGGGGATGGGGGGGTAATAGGAGCCTATATAAGAAAAAGATCCAAAAATCAGGACTGTCCCTATAAAAATCGGGACATCTGGTCACCCTACCCCCATGTGCTTTCAGCCACACAAGGAGTCAATTCCCAGAACTTGGGTGCCAGGAATTCCTGGGCCCTACTCCCATCTCTGCCACTGACTTACTCACTGGCCTTTGGCAAATCACAACGCTGCCTCGATTATCCCCCATCTGTAAAACTGCAGGGTTAATAATTATCTACACCACAGGGATGTTGTGAGTAATTAGCAATTAGGAAGTGCTTTGCTGAGGGCAATACATAAATGCCAAGTAGAATCAGTCTAGTGAGGCAGTGACACCTTGGGGATTGAGCACTGGACTGGGACTCGGGAGACCTGGGCTCTATTACTGGCCCTGCCACTGGCCCGTTGGGTGATCCTGGGTCACACCGACTCCCCCCATTTGTAAAGTGGGGATGTTGAGCAGGTAGGGTCTGAGTCCGGGATCATAACGATCCCCTCTTCTGGCCTATTCTATCTTCTGATTATTCTTGTTTCTGCATCAATAAGGAACAAAGCATGTGCGCACATGCACAGACTAGAAAGTTGCTGCAACCTACATATGCCGGGGGCTCTCCTGCCAGAAGTCAGGCCAACGTAGGAGTGGTGTGTTACATCACTTTTCAAAGAGGGGAACAGCTAGGACATCATCCCAAAGGCCCACAGACTTTGAACAGTCAGATTCAAGTTCAGGCCTGGGGAAGGAGGGGCGAACACCCACTGCGAGGCCTCAGCCTTCACAGCCCCATTACATTCCAATGCTTCAGCTGCACACAACGGTAAATGAAAGTAGCACAGATCCTTTCTAGCACATGTCCCACAAGAAGCCATGAAGGGATAATAGCGCAGATCAGTGGAGCAGGATTCATGCAGCATAATAACGAAGGGGAGGAGAAAACCCTGCATTTAAAGAGCTATTTTTCCCTGCAACAATCCCAGCTTTTAGACCGTTCCATTATCTTGATGCACACAGTGCTACAGGAGAAAGCTTTAGGGATTTGGGTTTCTCTAGATTGCTGAAGTTAGAGATTTTTACTCCCAGTAGGGGCACCTTCGTGTTGTACACTGTTCTCTCCTCACTGGAAGTCTCGGTATTATAGGATTACTTAGTACAACACAACAGAAATATTAAAAAAAGCTGGGACCAAAATGGCTCCCCACTTGCTGATGTGATGGCTGCCATTTTGGCCAACATCAGAGAACTCCAGAGCTAAAAATACAAATCTCTGGCTGGGGTTATAACCCAAGCTGTAAAGAGCACGGCTCTAACACCCCTGCAGCCTCTGTGGATTGGCTACAGAGGTGGGGACCAGTGGATTACACAGACATGCTTTGCCAAACCTCCCCATCCTTGCTAAAGGCAACTGGGGGGTTGTCCAAGTCTTGGGTATGAGGACTACAGGATCCCATGGGGGACCAAAAGAACAGGTTTGCCTAATCTCGCTCCTCTCCCCATATGGAAGAGTATTTGCACCTTGGAGAAGGTGCAAAAGATCTAGCCCCGTCTGGACATGGTTTGAGACTCCTGATCACTTAATTTTCAAAAAAGTGAATTCTTGTTCAAAGGATGCTAAGAAACTTTGAACATGCAGAAGAAAATACACAAGGGATCAGTTACCTCTCCTTCCCTTCCCTCCTCTCTAGTCTCCCTGCGGAGCCACAGCCTATCCTGTCATTCACAGGCCGCAGACTTTGCAGCCGAGTCAAGCCCAGCATGCTTTCCCGCACCATTGCACGCTAACCCTGCCCACCAATATCCCTTTTAACAGGGCCTTGTCATCTTTTAAGGACCACTTTTTTTTTGTAAACCACCACACAGGTCAGGCAGTTTTTGCTGCTCCCAGCAACCTGCAGGAGGCACATCTCTGACTTGCCACCTGCAACAACCTCACAAGCAGCACCGCACCGCACACTTGGCCGCAGCTACTATTTCACACCATTACTCAAGCCCTGACTGATCTGATGGCAAGTGAAGCCTTTCCCGGCTCGGATGCAGAACGGGATAGCGGAAGTTAGGGGCAGGCTGCGGCTCCGCAGAACACGTTCAAGTTAGTACCTGGAACCAACCGTTCTTTCCTTCCCTCCTCTTACAAGATCGGTTTCCTTAACCATGGTTTCAATCCTGGCCTGGTGACCTCCCTCGCCCCATGCTAAAGGAAACGAGCAATACAGAAGTCCCTGTACTTAGCTCCTGCTCTGGGAAGTGCAAGTTCTCAGGGGCCACGTAGTCGTTGATAAAATATACCGCATAGGAGGATACAGACTCCCGAGGAATCCGAGGGAATTATGCCCCTCATATTCTGCGGATCTCTAGTTACAGTATTTCTGCATCCGATCTTCTAGGTGTCCTCCAGACCCCAGCTGATTAAACCAACCACGTTTAGGGTCTTTTGCTCATTCACACACCATTGTAAGTCTAGAGTAACAATCCTTCCCAGCTCGCTTTGCTATGCCAGGATGATCGTTTAATGCGGAGCTCCCGCACATCAAACAGACAAAGGGGCTGCTACAGCGGATGTTTGAAGACTCCGCGCTCACTTTTCCAGCCCGGCTTCCCACAAAAAACTGGGACCAACCTCAGCGACCGGGACAAAACAACCAGAGGGTTGTTAAATAAAGACCACGACACAGACAGGTCTCCTAAACCCAAACAGACTCGTTAGCCTCCTATTTCACTCCAGTCACGAACAACTCCCCCTCCGTAAGAAGAGCGGACTCTAAACCGGTTCATATTCAACAGATCAACGAGACATAACGCCAGCCCCAGCGAATCCTTCAGTGCGTGTTTAAAATCAAAGTTACCCAGCCACAAGATGCCAATGGGGTGAAACGGGGTTATGATTTTTCCCATAGGTAGTTTTCCATCTCGCCAGCGCACTGCTAATGCCAATGCCTAGAGACCGGCAGCGGGAGAGAATAAATGAAGGGAACTACCACCAATTTTCCTCAACTTACTTTTCTTGCACTCTGTTCACACAGTGACTAGAGCAGACCCAGCTGGGGGCTACAAGACGTAGTGTGCCAGGGACTCTGCTCGCAAACCAGCCCCGTGTCCGATCAGATGATAACTGCCCGGAACACGCGATCCTTCCCGGGTAGGGGCGTGAGGCTTAGGAGAGCGATGGGCTGAGGACGGGGGCTCACAAGCGTTAGTCACCCCAAAGCCACTCTTTGGGCAACGAGCCCCGCGAGTCAGGACCTGCCCCCTGGGCGGACAGAGACAGCGAGCCCAGCCAGCTCCTTACCTGAAGCGTCTTCCCAGGTGTAGCCCGGAGCGGAGCCGCCCTTGCAATACCCTAGAGCCGCGTCCAAAAAGCGTGAAATTGAGCCTGACCCAGCGCCGCTCGGCTCCCTTATGAATGAAAGGCGCCGGCTGGAAAGTAGCAATTCTGCCGGGAAGCCCCGCCCCTCTTTATTGCGTCACAATCGAACGGGCCACACCCCCAACTCCCGTGTCTGACTGTTCCAAGCCTCCCGCCTGCAGGAAGCTGCTTCCTCCGCAGCGGCGCCTTCTGGTGGGCGGCGTATTCAAGAGAAAGCGAGTGCGGAGGCCGGATTCCTGCCCCTCGCCCGACAAAGATCGCTGTAGTTCAAGCGTCCAGGTTTGTGGTCCAGCTGATTCTCTGAAGTTCCCACGAGTTAGGAGAACCAGCAATTCCTGGGGCCGAGCAGTGGGAAAGTGTAAAGGGAGGAGGCACAGCGAGAGCCCCAGATTTTTGGGAAGGGGGGCAGCGAGGGGAAAACTCTCTCTGGGCCTAGTGTCTACTGCTTTGTGCAGAGGTTGACCCCTGCCTTGGGCACAATGGGTTCGGACTCTGCCCAGGTGCAAAGAACGGCCCCATGGAGCAACTTGCCAGGGAATCAGGAATGGCCACTGCTGCCCAATGGACACAGGATCCAAGCCCCATCCCACACCCAACCCTGTTCTTCCACAGGCCTCTGACAGACACCTGTGGGGTTGGTCTCTGTTTGAGCACTTTAGCAACACGTGGATAGCTGGTCACATCAGTGGAGTCTCATTGAACTGAATTGGTTGCACAAGGCACTTGAGGTCAGGGCCTGAGTCTCCTCTCACTCACACCTGTTTAAGTAATTCCATGGACTTGGTCTATGTTGGGACTCAAGGCACCCTCCTAACCGAGTATGTCCCAGCTGTTCGTGAATTTATCCTCACAGCATGCCAGCGGGAGAAGTATTACTGTTTATACATGGGGGGACTGAGAGATCAGGTGACTTATCAAATATCACCCAGGAAGGGTTGCAGTCTCCTCTCACTTCACTAGGGTAAGTCAGGAGCAACTCCAGTAAAAACAGAGTAGAAGTCTGTAGCAGAGGTAAGAATTGAACCCAAAGCTAGAACCCAAAGGTTTAGATGGGTCTTTTTTTGCAAGCCTGGTTCTCAGCTGAATTCCACGGAGCTGCACTCAGCAGCTGAGACTCCAGCCCTGTCATTTAGAAATAGGTTACAAGTAGCTTTCTCCATTGCCCCCGATAAATAGGACTGGGGAGACCTCAAGCTAAGCACCTTTCATCCTGGAGCAGCAATACTTTCTTCAGGGGGGCGATTTCTGATTCACCCTGATGTGAGAGGAGGATCCCGCCCCTGGTGTTTACTTGGGCACTCCTAACACCCCTACTCTACTTGCACTACATTGATGACATCTTCATCATCTGGACCCATGGAAAAGAAGCCCTTGAGGAATTCCACCATGATTTCAACAATTTCCATCCCACCATCAACCTCAGCCTAGACCAATCCACACAAGTGGTCCATTTCCTGGACACTACTGTGCTAATAAGCGATGGTCACATAAACACCACCTTATACCGGAAACCTACTGACTGCTATACTTACCTACATGCCTCCAGCTTCCATCCAGGACACACCACACGATCCATTGTGTGCAGCCAAGCTTTAAGATACAACCACATTTGCTCCAATCCCTCAGACAGAGACAAACACCTACAAGATCTCTATCAAGCATTCTTAAAACTACAATACCCACCTGCTGAAGTGAAAAAACAGATTGACAGAGTCGGAAAAGTACCCAGAAGTCACCTACTACAGGACAGGCCCAATAAAGAAAATAACAGAACGCCACTAGCCGTCACCGTCAGCCCCCAAATAAAACTTCTCCAGTGCATCATCAAAGATCTACAACCTATCCTGAAAGATGATCCCTCACTCTCACAGATCTTGGGAGACAGTCCAGTCCTCGCTTACAGACAGCCCCCCAACCTAAAGCAAATACTCACCAGCAACCACACACCAAAAACACTAACCCAGGAACCTATCCTTGCAACAAAGCCCGATGCCAACTCTGTCCACGTATTTATTTAAATGACACCATCATAGGACCTAATCACATTAGCCACGCCATCAGGGGCTGATTCACCTGCACATCTTCCAATGTGATATATGCCATCATGTGCCAGCATAGACATATATATAGGCCAGTGCATCTCCAAGGCGGATTGAGGAAGCAGCCTCAGCTACGGCCATGCCCCAATCAGGGCCCTGCTGGCCCTTATACGAGGGCAGTGGGCCAAGAGCAGACAGTCTCTCTCTGCCTCCGGAGAGGGAAGGGCCTGGCTGCCTAGGAGCTCACAGGGTACCTAGAGTGGAGCAGGGCTAGGGAGGGGAAGGCTAGAGGAGCTGGGAAGCTCCGGCCTGGACACCCCCCAGGGTGCAGGCCTTGTTAAAGGCCCAGAAGGATACTGGGGTTGTAGGGGGCAGTCCAGAGGTAGGCCAAGGCAGCGGGTCCAACCCCCCCTTGCCTGTGATGAGTGGCTTATACACTGCAGTTTGCCTCAGTGAACAGGGGCTAGATGGTGACTGGCAGTAGCCTGATACTGAGGTGAGGTTGGGGGTTCCCCTGAGTGGGGAAACCCAGATTGGGGGTTGCTGCAGTGGGCAGAACCCCTGGGTAAAGGGCACTGGGGTCTGGGAGGGACATGGGGGCCAATAGTGGGAGGGACACCGGCCTGCAGAGGGCGCTCCAGAGCTGGAAAAAGAGCTAATTCCCAGGAAACCAGCAGGAGGTGCCGCAGGGGTAAGTCTCGCACTGTTACAGGGCAATTGTGCAGCTATCTCCCCCAAAACATCCAGCGTAGAGCTGCTGGGGGAAATGATGTTTTCTGTCCGAAACAATCGTTTCATCACAATCAAAACCTTTCACAGAAACATGTTGATTTCCACAAGCTTTCAACAAAGATACAGTTGACCTTTCATTCTGATCAGGTTGTTTGGATTCATTTTGACTGTCTGTTATTTAATATCGTAATACCATATAACAGCCAACACTCTTTGACAGTCCCAAATAGAGTTTGGGGATTTTTGTGGTGCAGGAAATTTCAGCTCCTCATTCCTAATCGGCATGAAACGTTTTGGGGAAATGTTAGAATTTCTGTTCCGCAGGGAACTCTGTTCCTAACCAGCTCGAACGCTGGCCTGTCACTAGACAATATAGCAGCTGGTTAACACCTACTTCTTCCCCTCTGGAGCTCTTGCCTTCTATGCAAAACGTTTCTTGGATTGCGGAAGCCCCCATCAAGTCCCCCTCCCCCATACACACCCACATCTATTAGCTACTCAAGCCAGGAGTCCTACAGGCTGGGAAGGAAGAGAGGTCATTACTTCTAGTTTTAACTACTCCAGTGGTAGGGCCAGATTCACTCCTAGTCAGATAACGCTGCTCTCCCCCATCACCTTAGGGCAGGCTCTACGCAGACCAACTGCCCAGCACTCAAATCCCAGACAGGAATAATTACTTCTGTCGTTCCAGGCCTCCTGTTATTCCAGCTTCTGTGGCCTCTCCTGGCTCCCAGGTAGGACTTGTTTTGCCTGCTTGTTTGGCCCCGCAGGGCTTTTAAGAGCAATTACGTTTCAAAGGAGCTAGTGATCCGTGAGACTTTGAGCACTCAACTCCCTCCGATTTCCATAGAGGGGTAAGCTTTCGGCATCACTAGCATTTTGGCCCATAGTTCTGTGCATGACAAGTCACCAGTGGGTTAGGATCCAGCCGCAGTGAAGGATGGAGATTCTCAGACAGAAGGTCCGACACAGCAAACAGGAAAGCGATCGGTTGGGACTTGGGTCCCTCTCTGGCAAACATGTCTTCATAGGTCATTTTGTGCTCATGAGAAGACCCAGAAGTCACGTGTACTCACAGAAAGAAACCTTAATTTTTAGCTGGTATTTGATAGTTTTTAAAAATGTAGCTCAGGGTGGTGGGATCTTTTTCGATCTCGTAAGCTAGGGAGGCAGCATGATCTCCATAGACTAGGACTTGGGAGACCTGGGTTCTGGTCTCAGCTCTGCCCCTGATCTCCTGGGTGACCTCGGTCAAGTCCCTTCACCTCTCCTTGTCTATTTCAGGGCAGGGCCCTAGCATGTACAGTACCTGGCATAAGGGGGCTCCCATCTCATTTGTAGCTTCTAGAGGCTACTCTAAAAACAAGTGCCAAAGCCTGCTCAGGACTGGAATTGGAGACGTCTGTGTGCAGGAACTGGTCTGAGTAAGCCAGGAGAAGAGATTCTCTCAGCTGGGCCCAATGCCCTAGCACGGACATTGGAGCGCTGTGCTGCTGAGGGTGCCATCTTTCAGGAGAGATGGGAAACCTAGATGGCAGCTGCTTTGAGATTCCACGGAACCGTTTACACACCCCATGGTTTCAGTCAGAACTCACTCTTCACTCCCTGGCTTGAGTGGCATTGCTGGGTGCTGTTACACAGCCGGCGCGTTCCACCCCAGAGGCGGCGGCATTTCAGTGGTGCTTTATTTATACCCGGTTTGTAAAATGTTTGTGGATCCTAAAGCCTCATAATTAAAACACCAGTAAGCTTTGGTGAGCGGGTGAAGAGGCCTAACGAGACAGCAGCCTAGTTCCCCTGCATGCCCCACGTTGCCTTCTCCTGCTGCCACTGCTCCATTTCTGATCTAGCCCTGGGGCTGTCAGTGAAGCATGTTGGAAATGGCACTTGAGCTGACCCCATAACAGGAAATAAAATCCACTGGAACATTGGAGGAGCTGTCACAGCCCAGCAACCTCCAGGGCTGACAGGGCTCTGCGCTGCAGCCACAGGTGGGAGGATGTGGGGGGAGGGAGGGGCTGTAGCTTCTGTTAATCAGAGAAGGAGAGACACCAACACTCCACTTGCCCATGTGTCACTTGGAGAGCCCGGCTCAGAATGGCCCAGCTGCCTGGGAAACAGCAGCTGGGGTAGGCAAATGGAAAGGGATGAAAGGCCAGAGACAGCTCCAGGGTCCTAGTGCTGGGAAGGCTTCTGGGCTCACCGTGTGGAGAGAGTCCAGTGCAATCAGATTAAGTGTGTAACAGACACTGTGACTCCCTGACCCCAATCCCAGCTGCTCCATCAGGCCGTGGGGCTT